TTGGCTTCTTAATTAACTGAAGTTTTTTCGATGTCGAAAAGTGTGAACTCGCCCAGAGAAAAGACAGCGGGGTAAAGCAGGCTCGGCGATCGTTGGGTGTGTTGAGAAACATGTACGAAATATTTTTCACACTTCTAAAACGGACCCAATATTCGTATCTATCTCAATTAATTGTCAACAGAAAAAGGGAATTTTTTCTTCACCACTTTGATAATGTGTTGTACAGGTGTGACTCTTGGTTCATTCGTATTAGAAAACTCGATCCATGCTATTTAGATCGCCGTTAAACTCGCGTTTACCATTTCTTTACACTCAGATCGGACATAACTTTGAATATGTTTCTATTTTTCACGGCCTTCCGGTTTTTAAATACACACAACTCAGTACTGAAAACTGATTTCAATGTTTAGTTTTTGAAAGGTGACGCTGTTAAACTTTAATTACTGAAATTGTGAAAAACCACTCACGCTCCTTACACGTACATAGGTTCAGAGCTGTCTTCCATCGAACAAATTGCATATCGAAAGTATATGATAATTTTCTAAAAAAGCTTGTAGAGTATAAATTGTCATGATGACTGATGATATTCATTAGCATAATTTCGCCCCAACACAAAATCATTCCGTCAAATGTTTCAACAAAAGTTTGCCCTTCTATTCGAAATAATTTTTATGTTACTTTAAATCAATCGAATTTCTCATTACCAATGTTTTATTTTTTTTCCCTCAGTTATCACATATTTCAGCGACGTATACGGCGCTCTAGGCCTCTATCGGCAAAAAACAGCGTTGTAAGACCAAAAAGAACAAAGCTCTTTCCAGGCCGCTCATTTTTTAAATTTTAGTTTAATAACTTAAGCAGGTGAAAGAATATCATTGACAAAGTCATAACTGGCTTGGTAAACAGGCATAAAGATGAATCGAAATTAAACAGGACCAATATTGATATCTTTAGTCGGTATTGATTGGCATATACCTTTGTTACGCCCACAGAGAGTCGTAAATAAATAATGCAAGATTTCTTTTGAGCTCAATTCCATTCTTTTGAAAAGTTTTCCGATGTCATGACTAAAAAATTTACTTCATAAACTTGTCTTAATGCATTTGCATAAAACAGAATCACAATGAAATTTGAAAGAAGCCTTTGCATTTATTGTGCCACTTTTTTCTGGCTACACTGTAACCAATGTTTAGCTTTACAAAAAAAAGTCATAAAACGAAAGAAAATATGTGTAAAATACCCGGAAACGTACAGAATGGATATCAATGAAAGCAGCGCCTTGAACCGAAAGCTAAATAACCGTCAATAAACCTCTCCAGAAAATTACTTGTCACTTACTTTTACGCCCCAAAATAAAACATGTTTTACTGTTAAAACAGAACTAATGACGTTTCATTCTCCATTAGAATATTTAATGTCAAGAGTGAAGCTGTTGTTAGCCTGAACTCGACTATATTGCACGTCTTTATGATGACTTAAGTATTCAAGTATATTATTTTCAAAATTGCTCGAGAATCAAATTCTTTTTCAAAACATGGAGCGGCGTGTTCGCGCACTGATGCGGCGAAATTTTTAGGAGGTCAATTTTATTTGTTGAAATGGTTTAACTTCTATATACAGGAGGCAAACATGGTTTTTCCGCTTACCGCCTGATAAAAATTTGGCCAAAATAAATAAAGGTGCTAACAGTAATTTATACTGCATGGGTAATTATAAGATAATGATTGAAACTTAGGCCGGTTCTGATGCCTGTAATACTAAAATGTCGATGGATATGGTGTTATCCCTGCAAAGACGCACTTTACACAGATATTTTGAAAATATGATTTTGATCCTCAAAAGAGATGTGAATCCGGAAATTCCGTTTCGGAATTCGAAAGTGACGTTTTAGCGTGAGCTTTGCCAAAATGCGGCACCTGAAAGTTGATTTATGATGACTTAAGGATTCAAGAAATTACTCCTTAATAAAGTTCGTTTTTTTTTTTTTTTTTTTTTTCACATTAGGGCTAAAAAAAAAGCTCTCTGTGAGTGTACATGCTTTTGTTGCCAGAAATTTTCAATTCTGTGGTAGTAAAACTTGCTTAGTTCGTGCGACACATCAATATATTTAAAGAGATTCTTGGCATGGTGTTTATGATTTCATAACTGCGGCTCAAACGGGATATTGATATAACAGGAAAATTTACAGTGCCTGAACCAAGCATGTTTATAAGTTTTTGAATAAACTTGTATTCCACATTGATCAAATTTACAATAATCTTGCCTGACCAACCCGTCATCAAAAAGGGCTGATAAACAAAAATCGCGAAAACACTCTATTCCGTCGTAGACTCCTTAGCTGCCGCGTGTAGGAATATTGTTATTAAAACAATCAAAAGACCAGATCAAAGGAAAACCATCTGAAGGAAAACGTGTATTCAGGTTTATTCAGTCGTTTATTCAGAGGTTTATTCAGTCGTTCAAACGAATGAGGAAGAACAAAAGGCAAACGGAGAGCTTGCTTGGGCTTCTTTTAGTCCAGTATACTAGATCAAAACTCCTTAGTGCCCAGAAAATAAAGAAAATCTAGCAAGAGCGCAAAAGAACTCCGAATAACTGATTCTGATATCAGAGCGTGATACATGGAGATTGATCTGAGGCCGGGAATGAAATTCTCGTGCCCTTTGTATCAACAGCATTTTAATCTAGATGCTGCCGCTTAGTGGTGAACCGAGGATCTCTGGAATCAATTCGAAATAATAAAGCTCTTTCACTCTGTATTTCTTCGGGAAAAAACATTGATTAGTTGTTAAGCTTTTCCGCTTAAATAGCAGCCTTCTTTCAACGCTAATTGAACCCTTTCATCTGTTCCTCGCTTTGCAAAATTAACAGTAAAGCGTCAAAGATTAGAAATTCTCTTTTCCGCAGTGCCACCTCCATAACTTGATCTACTTGGGAGTCGTCACACATCCGATTCCAGGAAATTGTACGTGTTAGTTGTTCAAAGATTTCTCATTACCCTTAACGGATTAAACTCTTCATAGAATGAGTTCCTGGCAGCGAAAGAAGTGTTTTTCTTTCTTCTCAGACAGGAGAGCTCTTTGGTCCTTTAAAAATTCACACCGCTCTTCAAGCGCTCAAAACAAATTAGATAAAAGTAAATGAAGTGCTTTACAATTGGTTTGCAACCATTTGTTTTCCCTTCTAACGGAAGGAAAACCACTTACTTTCTAAGAACCCACTTTACAGGTTTCCTTGCCTTTACATTTCCGATCGTTGTTGTTATGATTTTTCACTGCCGCGGAAGATAGTAATGAATACAGAGCTAGATTGAAAAATTCCGCAATGTCGGCTTTCCCTTTTCCTTGAATTTTGTTTTCGCTTTACTGAAGTTAAAGTCCTACAGTGGAATCCCGATTTCTCGAACCCTCGGTTTCTCGAACCTCCCGATATCTCGAACCAAACGTTGTTTCCCCTGGATTTGCTTTACTTGTAATTTCACCCCCCGATTTCTCGAACTCCCGATTTCTAGAAACAATTTGCGTTTCCCCTGGAGGTTCGAGAAATCGGGATTCCACTGTATATTCGGAGAGTTCGAGATTGCTCGGAAATAATAAGAAAATTCATATTTCTGTGTTGCATGCGTGCTTTCTTCTTTTTTTTTCTTTTCTTTTTTTTTTTTTTTTTTTTTT